TGACTGGGGGGTTCTAATATTTCTCCCTGATTATACACTTGGCAGGAGGGGGTGTCGTGGTTAACATTGCTGTCTTGCAGTACTGAGGCCCCCTGGGTCCAGTTCTGGACTTGGGGTGCTGTCTGTGTGGAGTTTGTATGTTCTCACTGTGTTTGTGTGGGTTTCCTCCAGGTGCTCAAGTTTCCTCCCAAAGTCTAAAAACCTACTGGTAGGTTGATTGGCTTCTGGATCAATTGGCCTGGGTGTGCCTGTGTTGTGTCTGTGTGTGCCCTATGATGGACTTGCATCCTGGGCACAGTCTATCATATCTTGCACTTTTCTGCTTGACAGGTTGTGCTCATATCTTGAACTGGGTCCATTTCTTTCTATAATAATCTCGCAAAGAGCTTTCTTTAAAGTGTGTTCAGGTCTCTGCTTTCTAGCCTTGGGTTTAGGGATAAATATATTTGTTTCCTCAAGAACAAGAATATCTTGAAACTGTTGCTATCCATTTTCTACAGACTCCAATTATACTTGATAAACCATGTCTCACTCTCACATAATCTGATTTACTTAAATTAAAATCTTTGTTCTGAATTCCACCAAATTCTAGTTCCATTTTACTGTTTGAATATATGCTCCAGAGTTGTGGATATTGGGATAAATATCTTACAAAATAATAAACACTGCACATTGGTGGTGGTGGAGGGGAGTCCCCATCACCTGTAAAGCACTTTGGGTGGAGTGTCCAGAAAAGCGCTATATAAGTGTAAGGGATTATTATTATTAATGTAAAAGGGGAGATATACATCTTGTTGTAATACTGGAATGTGGGTGTTTTTCCAGATATGTTACATGCCTCAAGTTTTTAGCTTTAAAACATGGTTGATAAAGTGAGCAAAACTGGGATAAATCTGTGTGATGGATCGCGTGCTTCCACGTTTATACGGGATGACTCATGCCTCAGTCAAGTCATGAATCAACAATGCAAATTGAAGAGCTGGAAGTTGGTGAGAATTGGGTGATAAATACACTCACAGACATGACTGTTTTAGGAGGCACAGAGAGACAGGGCAAAATTATTATGCGATGGAGTGTGTCGGAGCAACACACCTCCCGGAATGGGAAAGTCAAATATTTTAGATGGGGAAAAATTCTCGTTTCTGTGGGAGGCTTACACTCTTTTAAACATTTTTTAATTTCTTCCTCAGGAACTGCACACAGTGTTACATTATGAACATGGCAGTCGGTGGTGACATACATCATTGTAATGGCTTTAGGCTCAGCAGTATGTAAGATTCCACAGTGTCTTGCTGGAAGATGTTTCCCTTAAATGTTGATTAATATAACCCAGGATGAATCAGGCTCCTATTGCCGTAATGTCACCCACCACCAAGCCCCCTCAGCAGCCGAGCAGCATTAATTCTGGCACACGTTTCCTCAGCCCGTATTGCGACTAACCAGTGTCACACAGGAAAGATTTCCCCAGCAAGGCTGTGTGACTGATCATCCCTTGCGATAAATTTCATTTTCAAAATCGGTATATATCTACATACCTTCACCTTTTGGCTCCTTCTCAGAGAGCTCATCTTCTCCCTGTGAACCTGTAATTTCTGTGCCCTCTCTGCCTGCCACCCGACGATCCATCATCAGCACTGCGCAGATTACAGCTCCATCTAAATCTGTATCTAACGAGCACAGAGACATTCCTCTGAAGTTTCGTGTTTTCACGGTGAGTTCTTAAGCCATGACTGTTCAGCTTGCTTTGCCATTTATTAATTAACATTATTCTTGTATTGCATTACTCATTCTGAACCTTAGGGTGAAAAGCATTTCTTATATCAGCAGGTCATACAGTTATGTATTCTTTATTTAAATACCACTTTGCAACTTGCTCATGAGGTTCTGATCATCATTTGTATAGAATTATGTTTTTTTTTTGTGAAAGTCGGCTTGGAGAAAGCTGTCTTCTACTTAATGATTGCAAAAAATATATATCATATAGTACACATAGTGTGTGTGCAGTACAGATGCAGTGTACACATATTAGCCTGGAGTCTCCATCCAGTTGTCAATCTATAAAGAATGAAAACTCTTTATATACATTGGAATAAATCTTGAGGAGTAAACAGTAAATTGAAATCACGTGGGTAACTGTTGTATCTCTTTCCATCAGCCTTCTAAAAAATCCAGAGGTCAACACATTTATTAACTCCAGCAGAGCTTTACCTTAATTGGGGCGCACTTCTGCCTCGTCTACGTTTTATTATGTCTAGCAAATCGTATCTAAAATTGTATAAATAGGGTGGCAGGGTGGTATAGCCCCCTCAGGTGCCACCCAGGTTTGATTGAAGCCCTGGCCTTTTGTGTGGCTGGACTCTTTGTGTTCATGTGGGTTTTGACTGGTGGTCTGCTTTCTTCTGCCTCTCACCTCCTAGGGAGGCCATGCTGACAAGATCTGGGCAGCTAATTTCAATTAAACTTTTCTGCTATGGGCAGGTGTCCAGGGTGGAGCAATAGCGCAGTGGTTAGTGTAACTCCAGACCTGGGGTGCTCTCTTCCTGGAGTCTGTATGTAAGATAAGATAAGATCACTTTATTGGCCATATACAATTTCTTGCATCAGGAATCTGTCTTTTCACATACCCAAGCTTGCTCTCCATGAGACACAAGAGAAGCTTGGGGTCAGAGCACAGGGTCAGCACCCCTGGAGCAGGGGCTTGCTCAAGGGCCCAACAGAGTAGGACTCCTCTGGCGGGTGTGGGATTTGAACCAGCAACCATCCAGCCATAAGTGCAGGTCCGTAGCCACAGTGCCAGCTTTGTTTGACTTTCTTCCGGGTGCTCGGAAAGAATGGAAGAATGGATGGACAACAGGTTGTGTTATGTTGTTCCTTGAATGAATGGATCATACAGTAGGTAGCTATTAAAATGATGATTTGTTCATTAGCAAAGGCAATAACACTCTATGTTGGTTTTATCATTGACATAAGGAAGCAACTCAGGCAGTATATTGACGTTGCATTTTTTATCCGTGAAAGTGTCCTCATAGTGTCCTCATAGGTATCACTTATGGGGTGTTACCTTGGCATCCTGGCTTTTAGCAATCATGAGCTCTTAATAATCCCCATCTCTGAACTGGCTTCATCACTCTGCTCTCCTCCCCACCGATAGCTGGTGTGTGGTGAGAGTACTGGTGCACTGTGGCTGCTGTTGCATCATCCAGGTGGGGACTGCACATTGGTGGTGGTGGAGGGGAGTCCCCATTACCTGTAAAGCACTTTGAGTGGAGTGTCCAGAAAAGTGTCACTTATATAAGGGTAAGGAATCATTTTTATAAAACTCGTTTTGACCCCCCTTCTCCTCCTGCTTTCCTCACCATGCAACACAATCTGTTTCTTAAAAAACTGCTGGTGATTTAGCTATTTGATTAATAAACAACTAAAACTTTTAAATTAATGCTCTTACATTAGTATAGAACTTAGCAAATAATGCTGTGTCATTACAGCATGTAATAGTATTCTGTCATCTAGAATGACACAACATTTCTACCCTGTTCAGTATATCTAATTTTCTAATTTTATTACTCCATTCGGAAATGCAAGTTTGTGCTAATGGATTCAGTAATCAAATAATATTTCACCTGACCAAAGTATGAACTTTGCCTGCACTGGAAGGCAATTATTTGCAATTACATTATTTATTGTGTTAAAACTACTTTTTTTTTCTCAGATGGAATTTCATATTTTAAAAAGGCATTAAATATTATGAATGACATATGTTCAGGCTGCCCACAAATTTCTCAGAAGCAAATCCTTTTATTAGTCATGAAATGTTTTTAAAACATTTAAAAAAGTAAAATAATTGTATGTGTCCTTTGCACAAGATTGCATTCTGTTCTAATAATTACTTCATTATATTGTAATCACTTTCTCTGTTTAATCTTCTACTTACTGGTTTCTAATTACATTCAGAGTGACTGGGAGACTCAGGTGAGACACTGAATTGTTTCTGTAAGCGTTGGATAGGCCACAGGAGGGCGCTGCAGAATATTTTAAAAAGTGTGCTGATGCATCGATCCTAGAGGTGTCATGGTCTTGAGATCCAGGAGGAATAGCAGATTGAGGACATAGGTTATTCAGCATCCAAGTCTTTAAAGGGCTAACCACTTTATCCAATCCAGGCTTGTGAAGGAAGCCAGAGCCTATCCTGGCAGCAGACAGGCACAAGGCAGGATACACCCTGGACAGGACACCAGTCTGTCACGGGATACACACAGACACTGACAAGCACACACTCACACCAGGGCATATTTCCCCAGAAGCCATTTAACTTCCCAGCATGTTTTTGGACTGTGTATCCCGAGGAAACCCATGTGAATACGAGGAGAACCTACAAACTCCACACAGACAGCACCCCAGGTCCAGGAGTGAACCCAGGGCCCCAGCGCTGTGGGGCAGTAATGCATCCTGCTCCCCATAAGAATTATCCTAAACCAAATGAAATTATTATATAATCCTTGAACTTTACAATAGATCCAAAATACAGCTAAATTACCTTTGAAAATGCTGCACTTTCCAACACAGTTGTGACCTTTCTCCCAACTCCTAAGCTGTGTTTTGGTATGTCACAGGATACACACAGACACACAGCAGGGCCAATTTTCCCCAGTATGTCTTTGGACAGTGGAAACCCAGAGGAAGCCCACATGAACATAAGAAGAACATGCAAACTCCACACAGACAACACCCCAGGAATGGGGCCCAGGGCCTCAGCTCTGTGAGCCAGCAATGCTAAACACTGTCCCACCCTGCCACGTCACAACGGAGACCAGCTTTCAGAAATCAAAGAACAAGCATTATTTCTAAAACTCTTTAACAGCTCGTTTGTATCACTACTACTGCCTTTTGCAAAATCAGTTAATTTTATTCATTCATATTTTGTGATATTCCTGAATAGAATAATTCACACAATTTTCTAACCACTTAACAGAGCAGATGAAAATCACAATGAACACACGTGAGAGTATTCAACTTTAGGCATTTTTATTTTGCTTAATTTACTTTAGTCTAGCATTTGGTTTTGGATCATTCACAACTTCAAGAAATAAAAGTTATAAATACTGTACAGATGGGATTTTTTTCCCCCCATCATTCACGATTGTTGAAGACATCAACACATTCTAAGTAGGGATAAATACTATTTTTCAAATGCAAATAAATTAAAATATACATATGGTTAAGTAACGTCAATACACTGTTAACAACAATAATAGAAAGGAGTTTAAAAACCCTGGCAAATCTGTAGTCCATCATCAGTATCACGGTTTTCAGTCCCAAGAAAGTGAGATGAGGAGGTAAGATATTTGAAAGAAAGTCAAGACTTAAACCACTGTGTGAATGGAGTATTCCTTCGCAGTTCTGATCACTTTCAGTAAGGTTTTAGTGTTTTGTCATAAAGACCTGTTCCTTTCCTTATTTGTTCTCAATTACAGTATCTTCTCAGCGCAGTTGGTCCACAGAGTGTACAGAAATGTTGACGGAAGCATTGTCTCGCAGAAAGGTACAGTACATTTCAATATGTACTGAAAAAAACTTGTTGCACATTTCTCTGTTTATTGTCCATAATATAATGGACACTACTCTAGAATTCTTGAACACGGGACTAGAAGACAAACAGTACAGTATAAGTGAATCCCACCTTACCTATGGAGTTAAACAGCAAAGCTTAGGGTACTATTCTCATTCTTTCAGTTTGACTGATAGAACACTGTCTGTCTTCTACCTTGAATTTCCCATCTTTTCCCCTAAAACCTGATTATTTCCAGTACCGTACCGGAATCTGGACTTCTCATATTCGATGTGAGTGACACAGAAAGCACAAGAAGAGAAGCAGAAGGAAGACAATTCTGAAAACTCTCTCGCCGATTTCAAATTGCAGGCGACTCATTCTGAGTTTTGCTCGGGACACTAGCAGTCTTTTATCTTAGTAAATAGATATTAGTGGATGTCAGTGTTTTGGTTCTGCAAATAGGTCAAACAAACAGTTCAGTAAACTGCACAGATTCATTGCCTTTCAACACTTTCAAAGGTAAACTGAACTTGAAAATCACCGGACTATAGAAAACTAGAAGTGAAATTCTTGAGAGGTCTGTTCAACTTTCTCTGCATCATAACACTGAAGGAAAATAATGCTCCCAGAGTTTACATTGGACTTTATATTTGTTTCAATACAGGTACAGTGCCTATAGAACAATTATTCCATTATTCAGTTCAATTCTTTTCTGTTTTTTATTTTTAATTAATTTAGTAAAATGTCTGGATTTTTTTTCGTTGACATGATAGAGTACTGTGTGTTGATGAGCGGCAAACATTCTCAGTTAGATACACCATGGTTCTATGCTGTAACACAATAAAATGTGAAAACATCCAAGGGGAGGGGTGTAGACTTTCTATAGGCACTGTATATTGTATGTTTTAAATCAACCCCAATTCCTGCTGAATGGATTGTCACAGAGGCCCTCGGCCTTATGGGACAAGACCTGTGCCTGCTGAAGCAGTGTTAAGCAGGGTGTTTGGCTTGTGCCAGACACAGAGGCGACTAATAAAGAAATGGAGGCCCTTTCTCATCAGCCAGAAAAGACGTGCCAGCATGATGAGAGATGCAGGGGTGACCATGCGTGATTCTCATGCAAAAGCTTTGAAGAGTAGGAAACCTGTCCACGGAGTGGGCTTGCTGACACGACGTCACATAGTAAATAGACTTAAGCTAAAAAGTCGATTCTGAACCTGATTCTAAGCCAAGGATGGCCGTTCCAAATCAACCCGATGCCTTGGACAGGAAGTTTTATCAGTTTCGAGAAAGTTGTTTTTTTTCAGATTAAATGGCAAGATCTTTCTTTGGAATGGGGATATGGTCGTTTCTGGTGCGGGATATGAGGAAATGTGTACGTGGGTGTCCTCATTGTCTTTATTTTGTGGGTTCCTGCTAGCGAAGAAAAAACACATCTGTCGGGAGCAGATGGACTTCTCAATGGGTGAACCAGATGACGTGAAAAACCCTTTCACAAATTCATACTTGTTTTCACAGTCTTAACTCAACGCTTGGGTTACATACATATTTACAGCGCGTTGACTCTCCGGGAGAGCAGAGCACTCCTATTTTCAGACCAGGACTACTTTCCTGGCTTGAAGCATTTGGGGAGCTGAAGGGTCCTACGCCAGGAACATATGGACAAGAGCATCAGGAGGAATTTTGAGTAGCTTAGTCACATCTGTGGAAACAGATACCCCTCTGACTGGTTTCAGCACCTGTTGGTGAACGAGAGCACCACTGGAAAAATAGAAAAGCACAGAGATAAATGCGCATTGCAACCACAGTCCAGTCCTGCGATGTCCTTTGGCCTGTGTATGCAAGAACCACCATCTCCAGACTCTACAGATTAAGGCATCAGAAGCCGACTCCAATTTTCCTGTCAGTAGTGCCTTCCGCCAGCTCATCCTCAGAATAGGAGCCGTGTGGGCTGTAATTCAGGTCAGTGGTGTGCTGCAGGTAGTCTGTGGCGTGGCCCAAGCTGCTTCCAAACTCCTGGTGAGCGGCCTCTTCGTCCTCTTCGTCCTCCTCCTCCTCCTCCTCCTCCTCCCTCACGCCCCGCGGAGACCCCCGGCTCTCTCCTGGCTTGTCTCCCTGCTTCCCCCCGCGCTGCCTCTCCGCCTCCGCCTGCGCGGCCTGCTCCTTGGCTTTGCGACTGCGCTTCCACTTCATCCGCCGGTTCTGGAACCAGATCTTCACCTGCACAGTCACAGTCCACAGGGGGAGGGGAGGTCAGAACACACACGTTTCGCCTTACCAGAAAGAGACTAAGAGGGGCAGTGACTCCAGACTAGATGGAGACTTCTGTCTGGACTACATTCCCCAGAATGCTGTGGGGGGAGTGGGGGGGGTGGAGGAGGAGCAACAGTCACCTGACCTGCTGGCCCAAGACAATTAGTCAGGTGACAATTTATTATTTAATAGGCTGGAAGCTAAAGCTTTCGAGATCAGTTACTATCTGCAATCTGAGGACACAGGGTAGATTCTCTACAATGCCAGCTGCACCAGAGGAGGTGGGGGGGAAGATAGTCACAGACTGACCAGCGACTGAACAGCTGAGGAGCTGTGAGTTTCGAGACTTTCGAAGAGTATTATGAAGGGTCTCAAAGATAGGCAGTTCTGTAAAACTGGAAAGCCACTTAGCTGCCCAGTTCGTTACTTAGGGACTGAAGACGGCAATCAAGAGCTCAAAAAAGAGATAGGTTTGCATTTTGGTACTTGATTTCATGCTTCCTGTACTGCAAATAAACTGCACATGACTGCTGTGTGTCTGTTTTACCCTGACCCACCTGTTCAAATTCCTATTTCAAACAATCTAGACCAGGAACAAACATAGAGACTTACTCCATTTTTTCCTTGAAGTGTCTCAGACTTCATAATGAGGCTATGGAGTGTTGCAGGATTTACTAGTCAAAGCAAAGTGTAGACTCTTCTTTATACAATTTCCTTCTTTATTCAAAAAACATTTTCCTCACTTACCTTTACATATGATAAAGAACTGTGGAAACGGTATGTGAGTCCTAGTTGGGACACTGGTTAGGAAACTACTTTTTTTTTCTTCTAAAAACCTAACATACCAGCTAATCTATTGTGAATTGGCTAGAGTATACATAAAACACAAGAATGTGGCAGTGGACTAAGATCACTCCTGACTGTCACAAGAGAACTAAGAATGTAACCAGTACCCATACTTGTTTAAGAGTGTCACATAAAAAGTTTAGATAGTGATAGATGGGACATAAGTGATAGATGGGACTGCTAATCTACTGATTGCATCTACAAATTTACAAATTACTATTAACCTTTAGGTGCAGTGACTTAGTTGGTGTGCCTATCTACCAAAAAAAGGATCTGTTTTATCTACAGTATATTCCAGATTGGGTAGAGATTGTGATACCCTTGTGTAAAAAAAAAAAAAGACATTGAAATTCTAATCTCTGTAAATTGAAATCAATTATTTTGATAGCATTATCAAAAAAGCTTGTCGGCTTGTCCCAAATATCAGCCACAACAGATTTTTGGATTTGCTTTCAGAATGTGAGGAAAATAAAACTGGCATGGGCACGCATAAGGAAATTATCACCTTTAAAAATACTGAAGCTTCCAAATTATTCTGGAACGGTAGAGTTCACATTGGCTGCCATTGCCGAGATATTGCTGGTGCCTGTTTCTGTGGTCTGTTGACTTGAATGTAAATACAGCAGGAAGAACTATTACGGATCAGATAAAATGCATCTGAAACAGCAATTGGATAAACTTTAAGATAAGGAAAAGGGAAGTCGCCAATGAACTAAGTGAGCAAAGGCTAATTTTAATGAAGGTGTTCACTAAAGGTGAAGTCTACCACATACCTCAGGCAGGGAAAGTACAGAGCTCTGTATTAAACAGTACTGGCATGGAAAAGGGAGATGTGTTTTGGTTTCTAGAAGCCCTGAAATTGAGTAGATCCCCAGAGCCTTGTAAAGGCAGAAGTGACACTTTTACAGTGTCTACAGAAGCCTTAAAAAAATGGACAACTCCATTTGTATGGTTATACATCCTCGACCTAAAACGATATTTGGCAAAAGAATATCCTTTCTTCCATCGAGTAGCCACTTAGCCGCTCCAGCCCTTAATGACCACTTGCTTAGTGAGCACCTTATTACTTATTTATTAATTAATTATTAAATATTTTCTCATCAGGCCGTCCTCACCTGCGTCTCCGTCAGCATCAGAGAGGTGGCCACTTCGAAGCGCTTAGGCCGCGACAGATACTTGTTAAGCTTGAACTGGTTCTCCAGTTCCAGGAGCTGCTGGCTTGTGAACGCCGTCCGAGGTCGCCTGCATTTTCCCATCAGAGAAGACTGGGGTGCTGCCGGAAAGGTTAAAGAAACGGAAGGGCATCAGGAGTCTGTCGGACAGAATCGATCTACTTCTTCCCTTCAACAGCCAACTCCAAACAAAAGAGGGCCTAAGAATTTGCTAGATGGAAAAAGCATTTTTCACCACATACATTTTAATATGCCTCACGCCCTTGAGTTATGTGACACTCAATAGATAAAATATTAATAACCACCTCTCATATTTTGGACACAGAGTATGGAACATATTCCACAAGTTTCTTACAGCCTAAACCCACACTCTCCCTTTTTTTATGGCTGTACTGGTTGTTTTTTGGTCTGTCTCACCAGGTCAACTATACAAATATTCCTCATTCCTCGGAGTAACTTCATTTGACTGGGGGGTTCTAATATTTCTCCCTGATTATACACTTGGCAGGAGGGGGTGTCGTGGTTAACATTGCTGTCTTGCAGTACTGAGGCCCCCTGGGTCCAGTTCTGGACTTGGGGTGCTATCTGTGTGGAGTTCGTATGTTCTCCCCATGTTTGTGTGGGTTTTCTCCAGGTGCTCCAGTTTCCTCCTATAGTCCAGAAACATACAGGTAGGTTAATTGGCTTCCAGGGAAGCTGGCCCTGATTTGAATGTGTGCACGTCTGTGTCTATATCTAACTGCCCTGTGATAAGACTGGCAGGCTGTCCAGGGTGTACCCCTTCCTGTGACCCTGAATTGGAAGAAGCAGTTAGAAAATGGATGGATCACATACTTTATTTGGTTAAATCTAGTTGTCCAGGCACAAGAATATCAGCCTTCGACCAAATAGCATTCTCCATCCACGAGTCTGTATCAATCACAGAAAAAGCTTTTGGGGTCCGGAAAGCACATGGCGACCAATAGTTTAGAGAGAGACCACCATCTTTGATCAATAAGGAACAAGACAACATGCCTCAGGCAGTGGAAGAACAACAGTCTATATTAAACATCGTATTTGCATAGTAGATGCAGAGGAGTTGCAGGTGCTAAGAGGAATCAAGACGACTTAAGTCCCCAGGACCCTGGGGTGTCTTACCAACTGTGCTCAAGGAAACAAGATGCTATTCAGAAGCTGTTGACACAACTCTTCCAACAGTCTCGTGAGATTTGGAAAGTCTGACTACTAAGGTAGTGATGGCTGAATGGAAAATTGCTAAAACAGTAGAATGGCACTAAATGTGAAAGGTGAAAAAAATGAACTGAGGTAATTATAGACCCGTAAGTCTGACTTCTCTTACGTGTAAGGATACGGAATAACTAAATAGGAGGATCGCCTGCATGGAAATCTGATATTTGGTGCAATCAACAATCAAGCGAACATTGAAAACGTTCTGAAAATCTAAACCATACACACTTAATACGTCATAAATATAATACATTTTAGATTACAGGCAGGGAAATGCGTGTTTGGATTGAGAGTCGGAGAATAAATAAAGATGAATGCCCAAATCAGGGTGATGTAATAAGTGGAGTACCACAGGGGTCTGTAGTAGGACCGCTTATTCCTAATTTATAATTGTAATCTAGATTCTAGTATAGTTATTAGATTAGTTCACTTTGCAGATGACCAAATTAGGCAGATTGGCATACACTGTAAAAAGACATTTCCAAAGATCTAGAGATCAGGCAAACACTTGGCGAGTAACACTGCATGCAGGTAGACATTCTATAATCTAGGAAACACTAAATTAGAAGAAACTACTTGTGAAAAAGACAAGGTGTCGGATGTTAGTCATTTACATCTTCTCGACACTGTGGGGAAGCAATTAAAAAGCCAAACAAAATGCTAGGCTATAGAATTGAAAACAGAGAATTTAAATCAACATACAAAATGTTTCAAATGTATAATGCTCTCGCAGGGCCTCATTCAAAACATTGGCAACAGTTGTGGTTCGGTCCACCACTTTATAGAAATGATGTTGCTCTTCTAGAATCTATCCAAAAAAGAAAAAGGAGATTTATTTTAGGGTTTAAGGGCATTCCTTAAACTGACAGGCTGAATCTTGAAAAAAAATGATGATCGCAAGGGAGCTTGGTACAAGTATTCAAAATCCTCAAAGGCACTAACAAAAGCAACCCATTGTACTTCATCAGAATTAAGAGAGAAACACAAACTAGAGGACACTATGTGGACACTATGTGAAAGTGCATTTAAAACTAAGAATAGGAGGCACTTCATTACTTGAAGAGTTGTGGCTGTAGGGAACAGGGTACCCGTCATGTTGCTGGTACCCTGGTTTCTTCAAGAAGCAGCTGGATAAAATTCGGGAATCAATTAACTATTACTTCCAAACTGGCTAGATGGGAAAATGGCCTGTTCTCATTTCAAACCGTTTTTACGTTTAATCTTAACCATTAAACCGCTGATACTACTGATAACTGCTGAAATCCTAGGAGGATTGATCAATTGATTGATTGACTCAATACTATCATGCGATGAGTCAGGGAGGGATCTCTCTATTGTTATGAAGGGATAATTATTTTTTTTCCTTTACTCTTTACCTAACTCGTTGTTTGTGCAAGAGGAAACAGTACTGTATGTTATTTCTACATTGGCATCTGGGCTTACAATAAATAGCAGAATAAAGAGCCTTGGCAATATACTGTACATTTCAAAGATCTGTGCATTCCTTAGGTGAAAGAACTTATAGCCAAAGGCCTTTTTGGTTAAGTCGCTACCAACTTTGCTAATCAGCTTGGTTCAATTTGTGTTTTTTTTTTCTGTCGAATTTCTCAGTTTGCTTGGGAATTGCTTATAAACAGAAGTTCCCATGTCTTTTCACAGAATCACAATATAATTCAAGTCAGAAGCCACTCATGCATTATTCTTAAACCACTGAAATGTAGCTGAAAAGTGAATGTACAGTATGTCTTAGTTTTAAGTCTGAAGAATGTTTTCCTCTAAGATTGCCAGTATTTTGCTCCATTTATAATGATTTGGCTCCATTTGTAGCCAGCAGCCATATCACCCTGCTCCTCACAACTGGCAGCCCACTGAAGCTCAGCAGGTGTGAGCCTGGTTAGTACCTGGATGGGAGACCTCCTGGGAAAAACTAAGGTTGCTGCTGGAAGAGGTGTTAGTATAGGCAAAAGGCAGCTTTGTGGGTCCTATACTAAAAAAGGTGCTGTCCTTCAGTGAGACATAAAACCTAGGTCCAGACTCCCTGGGGTCATTTAAAATCCCAAGGTGTCTTTTGAAAAGAGTAGGGGTGTGACCCTTGTGTCCTGGACAAATTTCCCCATTGTTAATCCCATTGCCATGTGTATCAATAATTATGAGCTGAAAGCTTTCTATTACTCACTCTTCTGTGACGCAGGTGCTGCAGAACAACTTATGAACATGGTTTTCAATCTCTTAATTTTTACTTGCTCCATGATGAGAGGTGTAAGATTAGCAGTCGAATTATGAAGAGGACCAAAAGAGGTCTATACACTGCCAGACGATACTATCCAATAGAAACAGATTGAGCAGTGAAATATGGATGGCCCATACCTTATAACAGTAAGACACTCCTCGAAAAACACCATCATCAGGACTCCATTTTTATCTCCTCTAATCTGTGTAGTTTTTTGCCTGAGACACTGCAGCATTCAGTTCCTGGTAGAAGTAATCAATCAAACTGCTGAAGAGAACTGCCAAGTTTATGAACAACCAGCTTACATGTCTTATTTGTGTGGGAAAGAATCTCAATTGCTCTCAGAGACAATGCAGTGCACAAGCTGAATAAGCGAACATCCCTTATTTTTGTTTCTCTTTGCCTTTATTCGTTTTAGACCATGAATCTGAACGTCACATTCCTGGACTGAATGAATTAAAATTAATATTATTATAGGTAATAGGTATATATTTCATAATATGATATTATTAATAATAATTAATCATGAAATAAGTGGGGTATACCTGTGGTTTAATTCATTTTAAATCAAATGAGAAAATCTTCATACATGAAAATAAAATACTGCACTTAATTTAACATTGTATAGATAGAGGGGTACTTACTGTATGTAATTTCTGTGAAATTCTGTAGCAATAATATAACGCCAATGCTTATACAATTCAGCCCGCTCCATCATACCTGGATGCTCCAGCTAAAACTACTGCTGCTATTAATAATTATGCTGATCTACTAATTTAACTGATGATTCATTTAGCAGACAACTGCATAAAGCTTCAGAACGGGTATTTTTTTTCTTTTGACCAAAAGAAAATTACAGTATCAGGGTTAGAGAGTAGTATGGTCTCCCCATCCATCCAAAGCTCTTACTGGCAATATAATACGTATCTCTTTCTTGTTCTCTCCTCCTTTTATCGAGTTAAAAAAACAGCTCCGACACAAATAGGCTGTTCTCAAAAGCCTACAGTATGTCAACTGTGGCTGTTCAGGCCAAGGTTTGTCAATATTTGCCAATTAAACCTGGAAATCAATGACCTTGTTAGAATTTTAGATATAATTTATCTATTTCCGTTGCTCAAAACTGTCATTTTGTCTGTTGCATCGTATATTTTAAACCGTATAAATGATCTGAAAACTAACTAGCGTAAATATATCACAGGAAACCTAACTAAGATTTATAAATCACTGGGTTTTCTTCAACCGAACATGTGCTTCGTGGAAAATTTTATATGGCTTGATCATTTTCAGGCATTTACCATCATCGTCGAAGCTTTGAGTTTTCTCGTCTCAAAGCGACCAGAAGCGTCATCTTTTTTGCTTTTGTGTGTTTCGAAAACCAGGACGAGCACCCGGTGAAACAAAAAGAACGAGATGTAAAGTGAGCGTTTCAAATATTTAGTTTGACGCCACGACAACTCTTTTAATCTAGCATTAAGACTGTGCTAAAATCGTGCTTGAAATCGCTTCGAATTCAAATTTAATATTAAAGAAAGTGAGGCACTTATATCCATGATAACCGTGAAATCAAACAATAACAACAGTCAGCCTGAATAGCATGAATTGTCTTCTGAGTTTTAAGCCTTAAAATTAAAAGTTTTGATTTTATAGCAGAATGAAGAACTGATTATATTGCATGTAAACAGATTTAAAGGAATTCCGAGTTACAAAGCACTTTGTTTCAGCGTGTTTTGTGAAATTACTGCTTACCACAGTTTACAGCTTACCTACTGTACAACAAAAGTCAATGGGTTTTTGCATATATATAAAATTGACCCGAATGTTTGTACTTAAGAACAAATCTCTAAACATTGAAGACCAGTAAACCAACAAAACTGCGGTTTTTTTGCGTTTTCTGCTCAGCTAAAGCATTATTCCATCATTCTGCGCGTATAATTTTTTTTTCGTAAATTGCGTAAAAAGAAAATATCTAATCTAGTGCAATTCCCATTTTCTCTGTTACTTGCATTCATCCTCTTGGCAGATATTGAGATATTTAAGCACAATGTTTAAATTTACATGTAAGCATCAATATTTTGTTTCTTCGAGCGATCAGTACGTCTTTTTAAAAGGACAGTTTTGACGGACTGCGATGGAGCCCAGACCTCCAGTTACTTTAAATCTCCTTTTTGGTTAATCACCCGTTACCCTGCCGTAATAATACACTATGTTTTGTTGCTAAAACATCACAATCTAAAGACGACAACATTTGTAAAATAAACAGTGTATCTTATTCTTCTCGCTTTTTAAAGCCTTGTTTTGACTGAAACATTGTTGATTGTCGGTTTACTTACAATACAATGATTACAGGTGTATAATGGGTTTCCAGGGTTACATATTTTTAGGCGCTGTTGCATTAGATATTTTGAAAGCACAGACATTAAAATACCTAATACTGAAGTATAAAGGATTCCTCTATAATTAGCTCTATTTTAGTATCAGGATGAAGCTAAACTTCTCTCTTTGTTGGTATTAATATGTCAAGCTTTTTTCTCTTAAAGTTCACTTTTAGTGGTGATTTTCAAGATAATTTCATTTTTTTTATCACTAGCCCGATAAACTGATATTAGTAATTAGTATATTAAATAAAAAAGAAGATACAATTAAATGCGTCAACAATGGATTTTAGATGACCAATGTACTGTATATTACTGTATTTGTATTTTAGTTTTCGCGGACAGAAAACGAAGGAAATTATTTCTTTAAACAAATTTGTTTTTCGGGTGTAAAATCTGTCTTCTTTTTTAGAAGATAAGCAATGAGCACCGCGTTATCTCAAGTTCGCTGAGTTTATTATGTTAATTTCCCAAGTCAACAAGCACTACAATTGTACTGTGCTTGACTGGACGGCGAGGACACCTCTGTTGTAAACACAATAAAAAGAAATTTCAGCGTTAAATGGATACTTAAATGAGTTTCATATACTTTTCACACTCCTCGGTTTATTGGTCTCTAGTTTAATAAATTATCGAATTAACGGTAATAAATGTCATGCAAGCCTAGTGACAAATTAACTCACTTAATCCTCCTTCATATGTTCTTCTTTGTATTATCCTCAGATAGCCCTCCGGCTGTAATATGCGTTTTTACAACGCCTCGCGATGAAAACAGATAGGTATCCAAATTTTAATTCTTTGAGAGAAGCCATAAAGTTGATTGTTTTCTTCAAACACGGGTGAGTCAAGGCCCAGCCAACCCCATTAAAGCCTCAGATGATCTCTTCTTCCAAAGTTATACTGTATATACAGTACACGCACTTCTTAGGCTGCATGAAAACTAGTTACACTTCACATGTTTAATTAAACATTTTAGTTACGGCGTCACACTACCTCAAATTCCACAGTGCTTCGCGCTCAAATCTATCGATCCGCGATTTCTGGATCTTTATTCGGTGTATCTTTACTGCACTGAGTTTCCTGCACCACGGCGGTCATGAAAGCTTCCGAGATGCGTTTGATGTTTGTTTCAAAAATCGATTTCCCCACACCTGCCAGCGTGCCCTGCAGTTAAAGCATTATTAATAATAACACTGTTTGAAATCAGACAAGGGCAGCGATAGTGTATATTAACATAAATAACACATTTCTGTTTTCTAAACACGTTGAGGCGGACGCTTAATCGTTATTTTTATTTTATCAACACAACTGTTACTGTACTTGGGTTTACAAAGTTATACAAATCCAGACAAAGTGTATAGACTAGGCTACTCACATCGTCTGCATGAATTGTAACACGGATCGTACATCTTACAGAGTTTTAGACGTAGCCTGTTTATTTTACACATTCGAATTACTGTAACTCCTGTTATATTTTCTTCCTGTTATATTTTCTCTCTTTGCGGAATTTTGCACAGTTTTGATTACTTGATTACATGTTATTTATGTTATTACATGTTACTGGTATTGCTATTGTGTTACTGTCTATTGTCTTATTTTCTGTCCTATTTATATACTGCACCTGAGTGACTAATGAGAAACACTTTTCATAATTCTATGCACCTGTGTAAGTTTAATGACAAAGTTGAATATTGATATTGAACTCACTAGTAACCGATGATTATACTGTTTAAAGAACAAATAAAAGTAATCGTAAAGGAAAAACAGCTTTTTTAGCAGTATCTGAAACCTACTAACTATACTTTTAGAGCACAGATCCTCTATTTAGAAATAAACAGCGTAATAAATGTTTGTGTTCGTTTTCAGAGCCTCGGAGGGCACTTTTACAACACGACCCTCAAATAAAACGCCACGATCCTTAAAATAGAATCTTTGACGATAAAACCAGAACACTTTTTAAGTGAGTGCTTAAAATGTGAGGATAAAATACGAATGAAAACAACTGCGTACAGAAAATATTCAATTACACATGGAAGAACAAGGTAAGGACAAATTAATTTTTAGTGATTCGATTTTTTTTCTCCAATTTTCCGCGACCGCACTTCAGTGCTAAGAGAAGCGGTTTTTCTTAAAGCGTGGTTCTGGGTTCGTCCCTTTAAACGTAGGATTTTAGCAAACGAAGAACAATGACGTTCAACTACGCCACTCCAAAGGGCGGTCAAGTACGAGAATACTCACAGCTGTAGTCCGGCAGTCGTGGTACCATGATCCCGGCCCGGATCCAGTTCTCTATCGGGAAGGAACCGGTCGCGGCCACTTTCAGGTGCTCCGGATACTGCTGTGTCAAGTGCGAGAAGCCCGCGTAGGTAAACGCGGGATGCTGGGCTCCTAAGGCGGAGATCGGGTACATGGGCGCAGGGTACATGCCGGGCAGGGCCCCCTGAGGCAAAGTCGCCAGTCCTGGGTGCGGTATGTTGAGGAGACCGGGTTTGGGGATGATTCCCGTTTGCAGCTGAATTACCCCAGAGGGGGCCCGGGGCGAGGGGGTCTCTGTTCTCAGGCAGGACACGGGGCTGCTACCGGTGGGGCTGTCTGGGCTCGAAGACGGCGAGGGGGGTGCTCTGTGAGGCTCGTCCGCCAGCAGGGCATCGATACGAAAGTTCTTCGATTTTTCCATGGCCGGGACACTAATATCGGTTCTAGGCGCGATCAAATATACTGAAAAGCCCCCCGACGGACCGCTGCGGAAAGTTTCTCTCGGTTGCAATTTTGCGTTTTTGAGAACAGTACACGCACTTAACGTCCTAAACTCCTCTATCTATTCCGATTTGAAACTTTCATCTGATCGACAGCGAATACCGATTGCTACAAATCAAATGAATGCCAGCCAGTTTCTTTAGCGTATCCTTTAACTTACACGGTCCCGTATACTACAAGCGTCTTTACCGTGGCGTAGAAACCCTAATGGCACTGGACTTGCAAAGGATCTCTAAGAGGCCGGTTTCGGGCGATCTCGACCATCATTCCCCGTGAGCCGAATGTGTACCTTCTCTGAACTATAAAACTGTTGAAAGTTCATTCACTTCGCTTTACGATGGTCGTTCCCTACCAACTACAAGCATGATTAAAATATATATTACTCGGCTCACATTAAATCTCAATTTCCTGTCTACTGTGGTTTTATTAGCCTTTATCGCCTCTTGCCCACGCAAGCTATTCTCTGGTCATCATTTGCTGTCTTCAGCCTCTCCTCACCTCAGTGGGGTGTAAGCCAACTTAAATCCACAGCTACACTCCCGGCTCTCTGAACTACAACCCCTCCAAGCACACGCTGCCTCCTTCTCCGCACTCTGATTGGCTCTGACGGCTCGGGCTCCGAGCGCCGACCCTACCCTTCGACGGTTTTCTAATTAACTAATTACACGCTCATTTAAACCCAGCCCCCCCTTCACGGGATCAAATCCAACCTCACGCGCTTTAGGCAATCTTCCTGGTGGAAAAGTCCAAATGTCAAGTACTAGTTCAGCTAGGCTGCCTATCTGCAGGCAAGCAAAGTGCAGACCCCCAGGGGTCTCAAAGACCCAATACTCATTCATATGAAAGGTGAACTTTCTCGATCTTTCTGGACACCTGTGGGCCCGTCTGAAACATACATTTCAAGCGTAGATTCTAAAACCCGCAGTTAAAGGTGACATTTAATCAAATCAAACACTTCGAGGAAAAACAAAGTGCTATTCCTACCATTTTTACGTTACGGTTACATAACGTTGATATATTTGTTATCTCAGCTGTCCTACACTGCATTCAAATATAGTTCAAATGCAGCGTTGCATCAATAAAAGCAGAGGGGGAATAAAGAGCAGAAAAGTACACACACTCTTAACTCATTCCCAGTTCAATATATTATCCCGCTATAGTAAATGTACAATCTTGTACAAAATCCCAGAGACTGTTACCCTGTTTATACTGTATAGGCGTTTCCTTGATTAAGTATAAGGTTCACTCCTCTGCTCTCTTAAAGTGCAATCGACTTGTTCCCTTTTCTGCCTGCGATAGTGTGCAAGTTGAGTATTATTATCCTTAACGACTGTTATCATTTTTATGTTATTGTATTTGGCTCGCTGAACCTATGCGTTCTTTTTTGCAAAGTGATGTCCAAATGCGTGAAAAAAATTCACAACAGAAAATGAAATTTGTCACGTTTTGTGGCCGCGCAGACTTACTATACAGTCCCCTTTTTGGGGGGCAAGTCAAATCTTCAACTGCTAAGCCTTTCCATTACTGCCAAATACTGGCAAAAGAAAAGGGCGATTGATACAATACTTCTGGAGCGCCTGAGTGCTTTGTGAGCATCATTGCAAACACGCTTTCTCCCACGAAAAGCAGACTAATCATACCCGAGCAGTTACAACCAACTTGTGGATTTAGTAGATCTGCGTACAGATACTGATCATTCCAGGTTTAAAACGCTGTTTGCAATTCGTCGCAATTGACCAACTAAGTTTCCATTTAAAGTAGATCCCGTGGATTCAGTGTGTTAAGCATTTAATTCAATGCCACATGCCGCCGGGACTGTATATGTGTTTGAACCGCTTTCATTTGCCTTTGTTGTAATGAGGTTGAATCTGCTCATTGATTCGTCCGGGTAAAATTCGTTGGAATAAAGTCGATCCGGTGTCTAAAAAGTACATTTTTCTTACTGAATTTTAAACCATTGCGTTTTTATTTTCAGAAATGAAATGTTCTTCAAAAGATCGCGATCTCAGTAAAATGTCCAGTTGACGAAATGGTAACGTTACATTTTAAATCTACATTTACCTCCCACGTATGAATTTATACACATATGACAAAAAAAACAACAAGAAACGTCGTTAGCGTTCTCTGACTAGCATTACTGAGGAGGTTATACCAATAACAAATGATTTATATTTTAATTAGTGCGGTTTTAACGACTTGCTGATTTTAAAAATCCAGGCTAAAATGGAGACGCAATTAAATTTTACGAGCAAGAATTATACATAAACCGTAAAAGACTGCATTAAGAGATAATGTGATTTAGCTTTCGATAGCCAACATCTCGTAGTGTTCGAAATAAAATCCCCTACTGTCTCTTGGCGTATTTACTGCATCTCCCTGTTTTGAAATTTATTAATGGTTTGAAGTAACTAACGTGTAAAAAACAATTAGGTACTGGGATGATAAATTTGGCCACGAACGCAGGCGTCAAATGCACTAATTCTTATTTTTCAGACGAGGTGCGCGTCTCTCGCCAACAACGTATTCGATGTGGAAGACGGAAAAGGGACTTATTGCTGATAAAAAGATAAAGTCGGCTGTGGAGAAATAGTAATAATACTGATGATAACGGAAATTCAATGTTATTTTCACAGTAACGACATCTCTTTTCATTTGACGCATACAGACGATTTTTAAAATAGTGTCTGGTTTCAAGGTGTCCAGTAAGGTCACTATCGGGGAAATTCAACCAGAGTCCCTTTAATTAATTCACTCTGCCGTGGTACTTTAGAGATACAACTATCTCTTTGAATTCTTAGACTGATCTCGCTAATTATCTATTGCGACTCTAATAGGAAAATATTGCAGGAGAGCGGGTTGGCGGGACTGGAAGTTGACCAGATCTAGATGACTTTCCAAACCCAAACGAAAACCGTCCTTGGCTGTTCTTCAAAAGAACGAGGGCGATGTTATCAGTGCAAAAATATACTGTACACACAGCCTCTTTGAAGGAACCGCTCAGAGCCAGGTGCCCACTAACATCATGAGATTATTATAATGTATATACAGACCAACCTGTTTAAGTCTCGGGGGGTTTATGCGTCGGACAGGACAATTACACTAAACGGAAGATGTGATTTTTAAATCAGCATACAAACTTCTATAGTCTACTCATTCGTAATTCAAAAAGAACACACGTTTAGGATGGTCAAAGGCAAGCCTCCCTTTACGTAAAACAAAATAACATTTGAACAGCTTGTGTTTCTATTTTACATGAAACAAATCAACTATTTTGAAAAAAAGAAGCAGAACCTGGTGTGTATATCAATACACTGATATACATAAGATATTCTGATGAGGCTTCGTAATAAGGCAATTTGCCACAACAGAGACATTTTATTCCCCGGAACTTTACCAGATGAATTAAATTTGCTAAACCTAGATCTGATTTTACTCCACACTTGTCGACTGGTTTTCTGTACATTTCTGTCAATTCTGGCTCTAAAAGTAGCAAAACATCGTAGAAGAGCGGATTGGAGAGACCAGGTTGACCAGATCTCCTGTAGATAATATCCAAGATACGTGCATCAGTTTCGTGTATCAGTCCAACACTACCCACTAAACCGACAATGAGCCAACTGTTTTCTTGCAGGGAAAAAAAACAACACTTAAATTTTGTACCAAGCGGACCACCTTTAAACCACTTGAAATTCCTTCAAGTTAGTGAGAATAACGGGAAACAGCAGCCACCCAACTTATATCTTTAAATTTTAGCTCAACGGCCATCTCTCCCACGTGTGGTCGATTCACAAAACACCATGAGAAAGTTAAAATAATCTCATCACGAAAGTTTTGGGCTGTGTACCACGAAGTATGTAGTTGAGCTGAAACTGAAAAAGAAACGTAGTTAAAATTAAGGCTTTGTGTCCAAACGCGTAAAATCTGGTAGGAGAATTAGTCTTATGCTTTTAATTCCATTTCATTTGATTGATATACTGTACCGTATCTTTTGGTCTTATTATTTTAATCATTATTATCCCAAACTATGGTAATTCTAATTTAAAAATTCCACTTTTTAAATGCATATACTACAACCTAACAGGTTTGAAATCCAGTTTTGATAGAACCGTAATGTGTTATCATGATTATGCAGTGTTAACACTATATATCAAGGTCCAACCCCAAAATTCTAGTAGTGACTGCATCGTAGTGAAAATGCGATTAAGAAAAGTTCTATTAGTCTCTTAGTGTTTCTTGATTGTGATATATATGTCTTTTATTTCTTTGTATTAAAGTTGTGACGATTTGACCTTATACAGGGAGCAACGATTTAAGAACCTCCTTTCTTTTAGAGCAGTTCCATTAAAATTAGTTTGGGGTTAACTGTGTTAGGCGAGACCCGTTTCATTGACGGGGTGTTGTTTTTTCTGAATCTTTTATCATATATTGTGACATAATAAACACCAGAATAAACGAATTTCTTAAGAATAAAGCAGTTACTTAAAATCGATCAATGGGTTCACAACGTAAATGAAACAGTGTAAGAACAGGTCTTACGATACGAATTTAATTGTATCAATTTTGAATAGCAAACAGCTTTTAATTCTCAAAGTTTATTCACAAAATACATTGAGTTAGCGTCTCTGTTGATTTTAAGATAAACCTTGATAATATATTTACTTATGATTAGGCATGTGTTAGTCAATATTATTTCTGTCGAAGGTAACAAAGGATCTAAATTGGTTACATTTCTCAGCAAGAAATGTATGGTATTTTATGTCTTTGTTGAAAAAACATTATTTTAGAATTTAAAATTACTTTCAAACTTTTCAGGAAATATTATCCACGTATTTTTTCTTCTAAAACGAAAAGTACTTTTTCAATATTATAATGCAAATGTTATTTATTAATAACGGCGATAAATACAGTATAACGGTTATTTTGTAAAGTGCATTTCATAAAACTCATTCGACAAAATTATTGGCGAATTGTGAAATTGACACATATTGATTAAACCATAGCAATGTTTCAATAGATCATTTTTATAAAGTGGTTGCTTGTAAATCCATAGTACACTTAGTTGAAAAATTGCAGTAATCAAAGATTTGGACTAAGTATTGATGAAGAAATGTCAGTATTAGTTATTTCACATTGCTTTTTTGTTTTTTTCATCATATTTACAGCTGACTGGGAATTCACCCCAGTTTCGTTATAGTTCTTTGTATAATTAAGTCAGTTCCAGCTGGAAAGCTGTTTTTTTTTCAGTGCACGAATTTGCCTTGAAAAGATGACAGTGTAGAATCAGGACATTCTCAGCTTTGTCAGGCAAGCAGTGAGAAAAAAAAAGAAACCTGCAATATCTGTCTCTTGATAACTTGATTCTACAGCCTGACACAGTTTCATTTTGATCTCATAATATGGTCATCCATGAGGTCTGCCAGTCACAGCAGGGAGATTAATATGAGCTCATTTCAGTCCTAGAGCTGATACATTAGGGCAAGTTTCCATTAAGCTGAATCAAGAAAATTATGGTGGCACTGTGGTTGGCATCTCTACCTCACAGCAGTGGTGCTCTGGGTTCGATTCTGGACTTGGGCTTCTGT